TACTTATAGTTTAATGGGCCCCAAAACCCTATTTTAATTATTAAGGCCCCTATATTACACGGATGTGGCCTTCTTACGCCTGCAAGGCGAAGCCTGTCAGGTATGTGGTGAAATGGGACTCCAGCTCTGGCAGCGGTCTCGACGGTGACTACGTTGAAGCTGGCACTTGGAATGGCAAGCCGAAGTTCAAGCAACGGAATGGTCCCGGCGTCATCTTCTACGAAGGCACCTTCGGTGCGACAAAACATGGTAGTATTGAGGGTTATATTGGTACAGCTCAAGGAAAGTGTCAAGGGTTGAGGCTGGGCGGCGGGGCTTCTAGTCTGTGATCGGTGGCTTTCAGAAACTTTCGGCCCCCTAAACCCTAAACCCTAAACCTTAATTCCTAAACCCTAAACCCTAAACCAGGCTTCTTGCGCAAGCTACCAGACGGCGAAGGCACACCAGGCTGGAAGCTGGGTATTGAGGACCGGCCAAAAAGCTTTGCACTACTTGGAGGTTCATGGGTAGTTATAAGTAGGGTTATGGGGTTCCTTTAAGGGTTCCTTTAAAGGGTTCTATAGGGTTTAGGGTTTAGGGTTTAGGGTAGTTATAAGTAGGGTTATAAGTCCCCTAATATGCGTTATAATTTCAGTTACCCTACTTATAACTCCACTTATAACTACCCATGAACCTCCAAGTAGTTAGGTCACGTGCGGTATACCATGGGAGCAGTATAAAAAGATTACAGGCCCGCGCATCGAAAATACGTAACTACCCCAACATGTCGAAAGATGACATTTAGACAACATTTCATGACATCGAAAGATGTATGCTCCAACCCCTGCCTCTATCGGACATTGAAGAAAAAACTTCATGACATCGATAAACCCATCGGTGCGTCCGGCCGCCCGTCCGTCCGTCCGTCTGTCGGTGATGCCGTTCCGCTGTGTTTCCGTCCGTCTCCCTCCGTCTGCTGCTCGGCCGTCCGTCCGTCCGTCTTTCAGTTGGTCCATCCGTCCGTCCGTTTGTACGTCCGTCCCTCGGTCGTCCGTCGGGTTTGGTTATTCGTGCCCAGTAGGGTGTGTTTGGGCACTGTCGCATATGGGCTCTTCTCCATGACAAAGCAATCTCCCCTCAGTTGACACGGCTTAGTGGCCGTAAGTGGCCCCTTCCTCGGGCCCAAGATGCTAAGATAAAAACCCTTCTAACCCCACGGCGGGCTCTAAAAGGTCGCCGCATGGGTGGTCAAACCGGATCGCGAGCTGGGGGGGTGGGGGGCTTAAGACATATGTTGATCAGGGATCGCCTAATGAGGAGGCGTGTTTAAGCTTGGACGTGTTTAAGATATGCGCTCAACCGGGATCGCCTCCTGAGGGGTTGTGTTCAGGATATGTGATGAATGCGTAAGTTTAACATATGGGTGGTTGTCAAAATTATGGCCCCTTTTTGGGTCCTTATTATAATACGGCACCTATTATTTAGGGTACCCCAAAAAGGGACCCTAATTTTGACAACCACCCATATGTGATGAAGGCCTGATCAGGGGCCGTTAAATCTTGAGGTGGTGCCCTACAATCTGAGGCCCTGCCCGAGGCCCAAACCCAAACCTTACCCTAAACCCTAAACCCTTATTCCCGAGAGGTGGGAGGCCTGCAAGGTTGTCCCTTGTCGAAGCCAGAAGCTGGGCCAAGCAGGGTGCGACAAAAAGGGTTTTTGGGTTTAGGGTTTAGCATTAGGGTTTAGCAAGCAGAGCCGCCCCAAGCAGTAGGCAGCAGAGAATGTAGAAAGCGATTTCAGGGTGTAGAAAAACCTCGTCTTCGTTCGTTTGTGCGTCCGTCCTTTCGTCCGTCCGTTTGGTCGTCTGTGCGTCACCGGCGTCCGTTCGTCCGTCCGTTGGTCGACGAGTCCGTCTGTTCGTCCTTCGGTAGGTCCGTCCACCAGCCGGCCGTACGGCCGGCTGTTTTTTCGTCCGTCCGTTTGGTTGTTCGTCCGTGCGTGGCCGTCGTCTGTCCGTCCATCCGTCCGTCCGTTGGTTGGTCAGTCAATCTGGCCGTCGGTCCGTCCGTCCGCGGGTCGGCCGTGCGTCCGTTCGTCAGTCCATCGGTCCGTCCGTTCGTTCCGTCCGTCCGCCCGCCCGTCCGTCCGTCCGTCCGCCCGCCCGTCCGCCCGTCCGTCCGTCCGTCCGTCCGCCGTCCGTCTCCGTCCGTCCTTTCGTCCGTCCGTCCGTCTGTCTGTCGGACATCGTAAACCGAACTTCTGTTGTTCGTTGTTATGTCCGTCTGTCTGTCGGACATCGTAAACCGAAATTCTGTTGTTCGTTGTTATGGCGCGTTTTTCGATGTCCGGTCATATCCCTGTAAGGTCGCTTGGCGCCTGAATGTGTGTCGTTCGTCAAGCTACATGAGTGCGCTGCTAGCGACGGTGGTTTAGCTTCTATCATCCAAAGCTTGGCCAGGAGCGCGAATCCAACCATCAGTGGCAAGCTGTCAAGCACGGCTCAGCGAAGGATGCTGTTCCTCCTGAGGGGAAGTACTGGATGTATGGAAGACAACACCCCTGGATCCTCAAGCGGAAGGCCGGGGATGGGATGGCCATGCAGAGCCTCGAACCGTACACTCAGTATTCTGACTCAGGGAGGAGAAGGGCCTTCCAAAAAAAGATATCCCCATACTGCCCAGTTGCAGAGAGCCCCTTTACAGGTTCCGGCGTAATCCGTGGCCGGTCCTACAGTGCCACTGACTCCGAGGAGAAGAGAGTGCCAGGGCTTTTCCCGGGGGTTTTAACGGGGCCCTGGTGGGACGAAAGGCTGCATTTCTTTGTTTGCCTCAGGAAGAAAAGGGAATGTCACCGCAGATGGTAGTTAAACCATAAACCCAAAACCCTTGACATATTCTAGACCCGGAGTCATAAATCCTTCGCCCCCAACAAGAATGTAGTAGGGATCCTAAGGATCCGGGCCGTGAACGAAGGGGGTTCATTACCAAGCAGGCGTTTACGGTACTCCTCAGTGTAGTACTTTACAGTAAAATCAGGCTCGCAATGTTTGGAGCGGGGGGCTACAGGCGCACAAGCCTGTTGAAGCGTGGAAGCGTAAACTGATATTAGTTGCGATTTGGGGGTTTCCGAAATTAGGGGACCCTAATATAGCACCCTAAATAGTAGGATCCTTATGATAAGAACCCCAAAATGAGGTACCCTAACTTTTGGAAACTCCCATTTTGGGTGTAGGTGTTTAGGATTTACGGGTTTGCCTCCGTCTTGATTAAGCTTCGTCGCGATCCGGATTCATGAGCCTCTCGCCTTCGAATGTAGTAGGGGACCCTAAGGGTCATGGCCGTCAAGGAGTGGGGTTCAGTATTCATCAGGTGTCTACTCAGTATAGAGTCTACTCAGTATAGAGTTTAGGGTTTAGGGTTTTAGGGTTTTAGGGTTTTAGGGTTTTAGGGTTTTAGGGTTTTAGGGTTTTAGGGTTTTAGGGTTTAGGGTTTAGGGTTTAGGGTATAGTACTCTTCTAGTAACCCTCACGGTGAAAGCATTCCCGCAATTTGCGGAGAGCATCCAGCAGGCCTGCAGCAGGTGAGCGTGGAAATCCGTGCAATTACAGTCAAGTAGTGACAGTCGTCAGCAGCGCGATGGTAATAGTGGAGCTAGGCGACCTAAACCCTAAACCCTAAACCCCGTCGCAACATATCGCAACACTTTTATAGCAAAATTGGCTCAGCGAGAAAGGCATGTCGTGTATACAGTCGCGCGACTGATTGCTGCAGTTATGTTCAGTCCACACATATGGGTAGTTTTCTAAATTCGGGTCCCTTTTTAGGTCCCCAATATAGTATGGCACCCTTCTAAAAAGGACCCCAAACGGGACCCTAATTTAGAGAACTACCCATATATCGGAAGGCTAAGGGCTGCAACGGAGGCCCCAGCTTAATCGTTAAGTAGAAGTAGTCCCTAAGACAATTTGGTACAATGTATCCAACAGCCCTATTGAAAGTCATGAAGGCCCCGATATTAGCACCCTTATAACATCCTTACAGAGTCGCCGAAGAGACCGTATAGATCCTTACAAAGGAACCCATACTGGGATATTCTAATTAGGCTGGATATTCATGCCTCCCGCGTACGTCGCCTTGGCCTGGGCTCAAGAACGAGGTATCCCATGCTTTCTAGGCACTTCATGGCAGGAATTTGGGGTTCCCATGCGCTCAACAGGGTTTGAGGTTTTTGTTAGGGCTTACTGTTTTGACTTGGGGGTCCCGCGCCCTGAAGCCTTAAAGCCTCAGAGTGTGGAAGTCTTTTGACCAGGGAGGTTTGTGGAGTTTCAAGGAGTTTAGGGCTGAGGTTCTTTGGTTTAGGTAGCTCTTTTTTCAACTCGGAGCATCGTAGGAAGCATCTGAGCAGGTAGTCTCAGCACGTTTTTGGAGGGGTACTCTTAGTGCTTCTAGCGGCTTTATAGGATTTCGTAAGGCGCTTTGCTGTAGCAACGATGCTACTACTAGTAATAAAATAGTAATGGCAAGAAAATAACAAGAAGGATTGCCATACTGATGATACTCATAATATCAAGTAAAGTAGGATTTCGTAAGGCTAAGCTTAAGGTAGGCGGGGCCTTGGGCCATTCCGAAGCCACGCCCGTGAAGCCGCGATCTCTGGCAGCTTTGTATGCGTTTAGGGTTCAGGGTTTAGGGTCTTGGGGTTTAGGGGGTTTAGGGTTTTTGTGTGTGGGGGGTTTCGGGGTTTAGGTTTAGGGGTTTAGGGGTTTAGGGGTTTGGGTTTAGGGTTTTGGGTTCCTTGGTTCCCCTACTATAGGGACCGGAAGAAGTGGTACTAATAGAACAGTATCCCCTTGAATTGGAGTCCCCTTGTGCTCGCAGCTTTTTTTATACATATCACAGCCCCGACTCTAATTTTGAAGGTCCCTGCAATGCACTCTACAGGCTTGGGTTTAGGATTTCCTAAGCCACTTCACTAAACCCTCAACTTTGCCCTAACCCTCTAAAACCCCCTAACCCTCAAGCCCTAAACCTCTCAATTGTAAACCCTAAAACCCTAAACCATAAACCCTAAACCAGTTCCTCCAAGTGTTCCTTTAAGGGTTCCTGTAATATAGAAGCCTAAATAAATAATTACCAATACTGCTGTTAAGGTTCCTGATTATGAGTCTACTATAAAGGAGCCCAAAAGCCTGTTCTAACTATTAAGGCCCCTACAGTAGCGCTTCCCTTAAGGGTTGCTGTACGGGTTCCTCAGAAGGTTCCTTTACACTGATACTTGGAGGCTATGGCGTGCGGGATGCCCATCCAGAAAGTATGGATGCCAGCTGTTCCGTGATTGTTACTGATTCTGATAAACTCTCAGCCCTAAACCCTAAACCCTAAACGGAGCGAGTCTCGCGCGCGGAAGGTTGGAGTCAAGAGGCTATTGCACTCCCTAAGCCTTAAACGCTATTTTGGACCATTAGCCGCCGCCCCTCCGACTTTCCGGCGTCTCTGGGGGTTCAGCTGAATAAAGATTCGGGGTTCAGTGGCTCAAGGTTTTAGGATTTGTGCACCTTAAAACTTGAATCCAGAAGCCAGAGCCCTAAATCCTAAAACGGTTTAGGGTTTAGGGTTTCGGATTAAGGGTTTAACTTAAGCCCCAAGCCCCACAGCCCTGAGCTGAGGATCTGGCAGCAGCATGACAGCCCGGATCGAGACCAGCATGGGGTCTACACCTTGGCAACCTATTTTTGGTGTTAGGGTTTAGGGTTTGGAGCTGGTGGCTTGTAGGGTGGCTGGGGGGCTTGTAGGATTAAGGGTTTAGGGAAATGCGGATTAGAGGTCCGCTGAGAAAGAATGCGCAGATCAGCTGGGGTCCTCTTTAAGGCATTCCTACAACATACCAAAGCTTCATAGAGACCTTAATGTTTCCCGTAAATGTGTCTCTTCAAGGGGCTCATACGTCACCGTGGATGAGGGCCTAAAATTCGGGGTCCATCAGGAATACATGTGTTTCCCTCTTGAATCCGTAGACCCAAGACGATGACCTATAGCTCTAATGTAGGTGCTTAACTAATTACCAATCTTCTTTATTATGCTTATAGTATAATGGGCCTCAAAACCCTATTCTAAGAATTAAGTAAGGCCCCTATACTATCCCATGAAATTTGATGGGTCGAGTTGAAACGGGGCTGTGATTCAGGCTGTGAGGGTTGTTATGTTTTCTGAGGGTTTAGGGTTTAGGGTTCAGGGCGTGTCCAGGGTGTAACAGCAGTTATACGAGACACACCTTAGTTGGGGCTAGAAGTAGTGACGGGCATTGTTTCCTCAAGTCCCCAGAGAGCCCAATACCCGTCACTGAGGGAACTCTCCTTAACTATCGAAGTGCTTCTTCTAAACCCCCAAACCCTAAACCCTAAAAAGGGAGTAAGTGCTTCTCCTTATGGGGCACGGAGGTTTCTGAATTGAGGTCGGTGTGGCGCTCAGAGACCCGACGCCGCAAACTCCAAACCCTGAGCTCCCGAACCCTTGAACCCTTAGGGTTTAGGGTTTAGGGCACAGGGTTTAGGGCTCAGGGTTTAGGGTTTCGGGTTTGGGGTTTAGGGGTTCAGGGTTTAGGGTTTAGGGTTTCAGGGTTTGGGGTTTAGGGCTTAGGGTTTAGGGCTTACGGTTTAGGGTTTATGGTCCCTAAAGCTCGACTGGACGGCGAACAGAGGTACCCGGAGCCCGAAGACAGGATCCCCCACGATGAGGGTCGAAGGTTTCAGGGTTTAGGGTCGGAGGTCCCGGGCATAGGAGCATGGTTCTACAGTGGAGTATCCTCGTCCCCTCCCCCCCCTTCCCGACCACTGCGCTCCCTAAACCCTAAACCCTTGTGAAGCATAACCGCACTCTTTTTGCTTCAGGTTTTTTTTTGAAACCCTAAAGCCCTAAACCCTAAACCGTGAACCCGAAACTCTAAGCCCGAAACAGATAGATTCGCTCCACGACGAGGTCGTTGCGGATCAGGCTGCACTACACCAAGACGCCGGGAATCTCAGAGCGAGTCTTTTGGAGCGTTAGGCTTTAGCCTAAAATTAGGGTTTAGAGTTTAGGGTTTAGGCTAGCAGTCTGGGTTTGGGTGCCCTTATACTTATGGTAAGGAACCCTAATGATATTTCCTCCCGTACGTTATACAAAGGTTTGTTTTTCAGAGGGCCCCTCTCTGAAGGTTTTTTTAAAGATCGCTCCGGGAGGATCAACCTCAGCCTTCAGGGCTGGTGCTGTATTGAAGTTAATGGATCATGGGGTGACGGGGTTCCTTTAAGGGTTCCTTTAAAGGGTTCTATAGGGTTTAGGGTTTAGGATACCGAAAGGATCATGGGACTAAGTAAGTATGGCTATTGGTACCTTCATTGGACTTTCCAAGTGATTCTGTCATTCAAGACCCCAGTTACTAAGTCCCATGATCCTTCAAGTAACCCTACAACCCCTTTAGAACCCTTATGGATCCCTTTAAGGAGCCCTTTCAGGAACCCTTTAAGGAACCCTTTAAGGGGCACTTTAAGGAGCCCTTTAAGGAACCCTTTAAGGAACCCTTTAAGGAGCCCTAGTTACTAAGACCCACGACCCTTCCTCTTCAAGTGCCTTCATATCTGAACCCCTAGGCTCGTACTTACAACGGGAATCCGGGTTTAGGTTTAGGGTTTAGGGTTTGAGGTTTAGGGTTTAGGTTTTAGGGCAAAACCCTAAAC